AATGAATGTTTTGAAAAAACTACAATCTTAAGTTGATGAGTTTAGTGCCTCTGGTTAGTGAGTATTAATACTTAGTTGAAACAGCTATTACATATCATGAGCAGGGTTTCTCGGGGACGCTTATTTTCGCGGCGTCCCCGGTAACGCATGTTTAATACAGCTGGACGCAAAATATTTCAGAGAGGATTCCACGTACGCTTTAATTTTGCCTGGGGACGCATAAACATTACCGATTTGTTCACAACCACAAATAACACACAAATGCGTCAGCGCGTGTCAGTCTATAGGTAGGCGGTCCATGCATATCGACCCCGTGAAGCGATTAGCCAATCAGCGATAACGCTTCCGATCATTATCACGCAATAGTGATCACACTAATGTATACACGCGCTGATTACCCAGATATATAACACGAGGTGATAATTTTATATCTTTGATCAACAGTTGATTGAAATAAGCAAATTTTTACCTACAAAAGGATAATTTTATCGTCCTATTTACCGCCCGCAAGTTTAAAGACTGTTTCTCAAAAAATTACAAATGAGTGTAATTTTGAATGATTGTGAATATTTTCGGCATCTTCTAGGCACAATTTTGCTTTAGTTTCATTCTTGCAAAACTTTTCTATAATTTTAAGATATTGTGCCGAAATGCCAGGTACAACATACGCTTTTTATTCTATCCGAAATTGATCCGGAACATCTGCGATTTCACGTTCGCCGCAAACCCTAAAAAATTTCGCAAAAATCTCGGTTTACCAAGCCAAAACATGTGAATGAATTGGTTCCTTTATTATTTAATCAACATTAAATCTTAAATATCGATCTTCAATTTGTCCCCCTTTTGAAGATATTTTGCTAAAATAATTGTCGATGATGAATCTCTTACACACTGCGTGAAGCTTACACCGATTTTCCTATTCCATTCCGCTAAACGCTGCCTATATACATTTACGTTTTTTTTTTACAAATACAAAATTTTTGTCCTTTAGAGTAGACTTTTTTAACCAGAATAAATTATTTTGATTTGGTATAAAAGTGAAAAAAAAAACGATTTTTCCATGTTTGATGCATTAATATGAAATGACATTCCATAATAAATATTAACAACAAAACAATAATTATACTATGTAGTTTCAGAGTTCTGATTTGAATAACTAAAACGGGTGTGAAGTGCTACTTTGAAGATTCAAAATATCAGCAATGCTATTGTGAGCATTGAATGACTAATCTGTAATCATATTAATTGCGACGCGCTTTTGGACTCCAACTTTTTCAGGGTTGGGAGTCCATGGACTCCATGTTTTAAAGTCCTAATGAGAACCCTGATGAGCTTTTAATTTTGATAAAATCTTCTTACAAACAAAAACATGTTAAAACTTCTATGTACACCCAGATTTTGAAATGTACCCTCAATTTTCAATGACAGAGAGTACAATCATGTACCCTTACATTTGAAATTGAGTGGGCATGATGCTAATCATATACAATATAACTTTGTTTTGTGAAGAAAATAACAATTTCGTTAACTTAGTGTGATCTTAAAATGAAGTACAAAGTAATAATTGTAACATTTTTGGCTATGAAAAATGTGAAATATCACTGTAAAAGTTTGCTAAAATGACTTGTTAAATTTGACATCTTGAAATTAACTTAGAGACAGGGGAAAGTGAGCATTTTTGACATGTCAAGAATAGGCGGTTTGTTGTTTTAATGAAATGGTTAAAATCTTATTGAACTTTAACTTTCAGTTTTGGCCCTAATGATGGATGGGGGTCTAGTCATGGAACAAGATTTAACTCAGGCTGTCAAGATAGTGATCAAGTATGAGATACAATCATTAGTAAGTATTTTGTTTTTTTGTTAGCTCGAATGATTTTAGCATGCCATATGGCAGCATTATGCCGCATATATATAAAATATTATTAATTTAACTTACAATACATGCAGCTTAGTTAATACAGAATTTATTTTAGTTCAATTGTGTATAAAGCTATAAGCTTATAGACACACTTTCGAATCTTGGAGCCAACCTGTACTGAGCAATGAGTGTGAAGTTTCTTGCTCAAGGAAACAACGACTTGCCCCCTGATCAAAGTTGAACTCATGCGGCTAGCAATCATAAGATTACTAGTCCAACGCCTTAACCACTGGGCCATGCCGCCACTTGTAGCTTATTGTAGTATTGATAGTTTTAAACATGTTATCACATTTTTAAGACCAGAGCACCAAACCAGCAGCAACATTTGTGTGACACATTGGAAACAAGGGGTGTTGCAATACGTATTGTCGTGTATATGTTTTGATGTAAAAATGGTGTAACATTATATATTATTATTATATGTATATATTCTTAGTAGAAACTTAATAAAATTGTAAGGAATAAATAGAAAGTAAAGTGTCACACAATTTGATAAACAAAACTAGTCGCGCATGACCTTTTACATCTGGGCCGCTTATGTAAATTATGTGGCCGTTTATTGACTTTTAAGTTTACTAGTTGTCAGATACTTTTATCTTACGTCGGCACAAATAAAATTCGCCAATTAAAGATTTTATGCGAAATTTGTACGAAATTAGAAGGCAATTAATTGAAAATTATGATTTTTAGAAATTACCGGTTTTCCAAAAATTGTACCGCGGTATGAAATTTATTTTTTCATATTGCAATATATTGGTATACCGGTAAACCGTTACACCCTTATTGGAAACCATGTGATATTCCCTCTCCTAAAATAATAGGTACTGCTCATCCAAAGCAGAGTGAGAGAGCCTTGTCTTTATGTAAACTCAAGGTGTGGATGGTTTTGGGAGTGAAACGTTTCAATAGTGCTGATTCAGTACTTCACTTCAATAAGATGAATAGTAATAGGTCTTATTTTCTAAATTGGGTTCATCTTCAATGTAACTGATTATTGAACATATATATTTATGATTCACCCATTTTCAGTTAAGCCGTCTGTCAGAGATAGGTGAAGAATATATTGTACTGACAGCTAGCACAGGTGAGGGCACATGTGGACATATTGGCTCAGCAAAAGGAGAAGGCTTTGTGAAGTCATCCGGTCTAAATTCTGTCAAGCAAGAATTTCTTAACTTTTGTTCAGGTAACTTTTATTATGTTTTAACAGTTCTAACCCTCTCATACCTATTACAGGGTAAATAAACAGGGTTACCCAGTTGGGGCGTCAAAAAAAATGTTTTAATTTGCACAATTTTATCGAAATTAAGATGTAAGAAAGATTAATAGTTTTGTTTTGTGATAAATAGTTTTGTTTTTTGTACATGAAGCTCTATTTAATATTTGTTGTAATGTAATTGGGGAAAAGAAACTAGAAGAGATTAAAATTTGCATATTAATGAAACTGAAGAGATTTTGAAAACATGAATGTTTCACAAGCTACATTTGTAAAAGTATGTTTATCTGAATACATTATGAACAATTCACTCTGCCGTATACACAATTACTAGTAATACATTGTATGTCAAGCCTCTGTTATGTATTGTGTCCTTTTGTGAGGAGATTTGTTGCCTTAACTGGGAACAGTGGTTACTCTTTTCCCACCTTTACACATTTGTTCCAAATTAATTATGTTTTATATATTCTAGACTGTGATGTCATATGCTTTTAAAATAAAAAAAAATAATCCTTTTTTTTTCTCAAGGGAAGGAAAAATCTCCTCAACCCCCACCTATTGTAAATACCACCTCAACTCCTAAGCCAAACAGACGCAAATCTACCCCAAGATGTAAATTCCAACAAAGCGCAGTTGTAGTGAAGCTGGAAGATTCCATAATTCCTGAAATATCAACATCCATTAAAGAAACAGATCTCACTTCCTCAATCCTCACTGATTCAGCTCTAGATCTGAGCGAGAAATCCTCCGGCTATTCATATACCTTGGATAGCAAAGATGATGTCCTGAAGTATAACGGGAAAGCAGCGCAGAACGCTTTTCCTGGTTTCCCATATGAAGAGCTTGCAAATGATACTAAAGAGTTTCAACAGGTGAAATTGCCACGCTTTACTTGGCAAGATGAAAAACTTAAGTGTGTTAGTCAAGAGATGGCTGACAATGGTGGTGAGAATTTTTCAATAAAATTGGAAAAAGATGCAGTTGATCAAATTGAAAATGGAGCCCTTAAAAGTTTGCCTTTTGGCGATGTTAGTGTGTATGATGGTCTAAGTATTTTCGAGAGGGGGAGACAGCAGCTGGGTTTAAGAAATAGAAGGAAAAATCGGAGAGCACCAGTGAAAATACAGAAGAGAGAGCTGAATGTTGATCTTCCTTTGGACACAGCTGGCAGTTCAGTTGTTAAAATGGAAAGTGAAAGTGCAGTTGAAGGCTTAGACAATCAAATATTAAATGCATTAAGTGTTGCTAATATAAATGGTCCCGAGATAGTAAATAATAATTTGGATTTGAAATCAGGGGTGTCTGGCAATATGAGAAAGGCTGCCAAAAAGCACAGCACTAGTGAAATAACTGATATGAAAAGTGCATTTGAAGAAATCGGAAACATGGCCAAATGCTTGATCTGTAATAAGATTCTCGCAAATAAAAACAATCGCACGTTTCACTGGCGGTCACATGTTGGGGATAAGAGGTACACATGCGATATCTGCAACAAAGCATTCACTCATCCATCTAATATGCGATCACATCGTAAAATCCACACGGACGAAAAACCATTTCCATGTGACCTGTGTGAGCGAAGGTTCAGACGACGGGATTATCTTCTGCAGCATTTGGAACGCTTTCACTACAATCCAAAACAATCAGAAAAGTCTCAGGCGGAAGGTGAGAGCAACAGTAACTGAGTACATTTAAACCAATAGGTCTGTTTATCTCAAAATTAAAGCCTGTCTGGTTGTAGGCAGTGATTATATTTTTGCTCCAACAAATCTTTTTTACATATGTGTGTACAATCACCTATATTTGCTAAACTTAATTTTAGAGTAATTCTGCAGGATATATTATAAATCCATGTTTTGTAGAAGCCTGTAAAACTGTAAAAAGGCCCTTAATTGGTAAGAATGAACAAATGTAAGGAAATTTATATGCAGTAATGAACAATATGGTATTATAATTATTATTGTAGATGAATGGTGTTTTTATAAAGATAGTCTTCTCATATGTAAGAGGAATACATTATTTATAATTGGCTGGGTACATACGGCAAAGTATCTTTTTATGAAGCATATTTTATCCCACCTTAATTAGAATACCTGGAAGAGTTATTTGACTACCTGAAACAGCTATTTAAATTTTCATTAGAATACCTGGAAAAGCTATTTTACTACCTGAAACAGCTATTTAAATTTTCATTAGATAGAATACCTGGAAAAGCTATTTTACTACCTAAAACAGATATTTAAATTTTTATTAGAATACCTGGAAAAGCTATTTTACTACCTGAAACAGCTATTTAAATTTTTGTAAGAATACCTGGAAAAGCTATTTTTCAGAATATCTGAAACAGCTATTTTATTATAATACGTAGAAGGGCTTTTTTGAATGACATGTTTCAAAACATCATTCTGTCAACAGGCCTACAAGCTTTCAACAACACAGTTACACTGTTTAACCTCATTTTAAAGAATTTTTTTTTTTAATTTGTTAACATTCCCAAACAGAAGGGAAAAAATAGTTGTTTTTTTGTGTTACAAAACTTTGAAGAAATCCAGCGAAGTAAAATATATGCTCATTATGATGTACAAAAGCTGACAATCTAAATTATCTTTTTGTATGAGAAAATGTAAGAGTCAATTTTTTTTACATATTTTTTTATCTATTAATAGTGTTTTTCTCCACAGGCTGTGAATCGTGTTTCTAATTCTTCAAGGTGTGTTCATAAAGATCATTGGCAAGTCCCAGTTATTGAAAACACATTCCATATTACAGAATATTAAACTTACAATGTTTATACAGTATTAAAGATGTACGTCATTCCATCATAAGCCAGAACGTGCCATGCTGGGCAGATGTACACATAAGAGTTGTAAACATTGAGAAAATTACATTATAACTCTGACAGTATTGATTTTACATAGGTTAAAATTAGAAAACGCTTAGCTTTTTCAAAATTGTGAAAGCTCGCCGTTGATTGGCTGTTTGAAAATTCACAAGAAAGTGATAACCTATTGGTGATCATCAGATCCTAATGCGTAGCATCATTTAGGAGCTGATTTTAATCACATTGGATTTTTATCCTAAATTTCATGGATTAATTACAAACATTTACAAACTACAACTTTGAAATATAGGAAGATGATCTAAAAATGATTGCTTTATTTGGAACTGAAGATATTTTTATAATTACTACAGTTATAATCTCAAAGACTGGCTTGTCCACAGACTTTTTTTTTGAACACACCTTGTACATTTTGAAGCATTCATCGTTTTGTACATATAAACAAAGATTCAGTGTTTGTTTTTATTTCTGTAATTTTGTTACTGATTACATCTTTCCGATAGAAAACGTGCGTTAATTTACATTATATTTGTTACATATCAGTATATTATATATCGAAACATATCAAAATATTTATATATACAATATAATTACATTCCTGGAAGTTTATTGCTCAAAGTATGTTATATTTAGTTACTGTTAGATTTTATATAAAAAAACAGGACTCTTATTTTTTGGTCAATTTGTTTTGCTCTTTTGTCGCAGCTCAGACAGTATTGTTTATAATGATATATTATAGAATATATGACAATCATTGATATTTTGTATGCACTTTTTTTTCTAAATGTAAACTATGTAAGATATAGACTTATATGTCAAGAATATATAAAATATATGTGCTACATGCAAAAGGTAATATTGCTTTTATAGTTAGTGCCCAGTTTGGGATCTGTACAGATACAGGTTAAGAATGTAAATTCATCGAGGACCTTTTGAAACGGTTGCAGTTGATACATGTTATAAAGCTAAAGATACCCAACAGATTTTCTCATGATATTCTAAGATACATGTAATGTACATTGTATATTATACTGTAACTAAGAAATTTCAACCGAGTGATTATTAGTTGGCAATATTGGCGATATCTAATGTATGTTGTTTACCTATATTTTTTTTATAAGGTTAATTTGTAACAGGAAACACACATTAAGACTACAGTACAACCTGTGTATAGCAACCACCTTTGAGAAAGAAAGATTTAGATTTATGCTTGAGTGATGCTGCTCAGTATAGGTTAAATGTTTTCAATGAGTCTGATTTTTAGAAATATTGATACGTTTTTTGTAAAGAGGTAATTGCCCTATTGTAAAGAGGTAATTGCCATACAAAGAGGTTGCTTTGCAGAGGTTGAACTGTATCAACAAATATTACTAATAACTAGGTACTGTAGTTAAATTTGTTCAATTATATTTTTGCTTGTTTTAATATCCCTAACATTATTGATAGACAGGTAGTTGTAAATGTAGATTTTGTATAAATGATTTTTTTTGCCTTATTTCCATTTTTCCAAAATGGCATAATTTAATGATTATGCCCCCACAATGTGGGAGCATATAGCGTTGCACTTGTCCGTCAATCCGTCAGTCCGTCCGTCAATCCGTCAGTCCGTCCGTCCGTACGTCCCGAAATCTTGTGAACGCAACTCCTCTTAAACCGGATGGCAGATTTTGCTTAAACTTACAGGGATGAACAACCTTAATGTGTAGATGGTAGTAAAGGAATGAATTTTCGCTGCGACCAAATTTAACAGAATTATGGCCCTTTGTTGATTTTTTGACTAGATACTATGTAGAAATTTTGTGAGCGCAACTCCTCTTAAACCGGATGGCAGATTTTGCTTTAACTTACAGGGATGAACAACCTTAATGTGTAGATGGTAGTAAAGGAAGGAATTTTTGCTGCAACCAAATTTAACAGAATTATGGCCCTTTGTTGATTTTTTCACTATATACTATGTAGAAATTTTGTGAATGCAACTCCTCTTAAACCGGATGGCAGATTTTGCTTAAACTTCCAGGGATGAACAAACTTAATGTGTAGATGGTAGTTAAGGAATGAATTTTTGCTGCGACCAAATTTAACAGAATTATGGCCCTTTGTTGAGTTTTTCACTATATACTATGTAGAAATTTTGTGAACGCAACTCCTCTTAAACCGGGTGGCAGATTTTGCTTAAACTTACAGGGATGAACAACCTTAAGGTGTAGATGGTAGTAAAGGAATGAATTTTCGCTGCGACCAAATTTTACAGAATTATGGCCCTTTGTTGATTTTTTCACTATATACTATGTAGAAATTTTGTGAATGCAACTCCTCTTAAACCGGATGGCAGATTTTGCTTAAACTTCCAGGGATGAACAACCTTAATGTGTAGATGGCAGTAAAGGAAGGAATTTTTGCTGCAACCAAATTTAACAGAATTATGGCCCTTTGTTGATTTTTTCATTATATACTATGTAGAAATTTTGTGAACGCAACTCCTCTTAAACCGGATGGCAGATTTTGCTTAAACTTCCAGGGATTAACAACCTTAATGTGTAGATGGTAGTAAAGGAAGGAATTTTTGCTGCGACCAAATTTAACAGAATTATGGCCCTTTGTTGATTTTTAGTTTTCAACTTGTGGCACATGTAGTCCAAAAAATATTTGACCTAGACTCATAAGATTGACAGAACAGTGGCGTGTGGGGGCATCCGTGTCCTATGGACACATTTCTAGTTTTTTTTTTACATCTCTAGCAAGTATTTTCTGCTCATTTTGTGTATTTGTTGTGTGCTGTTCTTTTGTATTGTCTAATAATTATTGCCTGAAAGATTTTCCATAGATAGTTGTAGATTCGTGTGATGTAATCTATTTAGTTTGGCATAAAGAGCTATTGCAATCCCGGCGTCTGTGTCGGCAACTGTGTCACACTTCAGTTAAGTTTTTGCATGTCAGTTTGTAATTCAAAAACTACAGTAGGCAGCGGGTTTAAAATTCACACTCTCGTTCTCTGTGATTATTTACCATGATGGGCACACAGGTTTCATAACTCTGAGTTACCTTTTTACGGAATTTTTCCCCTTTTTGTACTATCAAGCACTGAAAATGGTCGAGTGCGCTGACAACTGTTGTTAAAAATAGGACAGAGGTGTACTGGGAAGTTAATCATAATTTAATTATATCAGCCTGTATTACATTTGTTGTATTGATAAGATGAAAATATGCAGGCCTATCTTTGCTTGTACAATCACTAAATCAGGTATTCTTTTATTGCTCAGAGACCTCAGTCATATGGTTGTGTTGTTTTATTCTAACACATTATCTTTCTCACCATTTTATGCTGTTTTTTTTTTGTTGTTTTTTTAAAGAGCATTGAATCCTATACATATGGAAGTTATCCAAATTATCATCGTTCAATGAAAATTCAAGGTTGTGTTTTAGATACTGTATAGAAAGGGCACCTGAGATTTTCATTTACCATTCAAACTGAAAAGACTTTTAACAATAGGAATTTCAAGTAAATTTTACTTTTTATGCCCCCACAATGTGGGAGCATATAGCGTTGCACTTGTCCGTCCGTCCGTCTGTCCGTCAGTCCGTAGGTCCCGAAATCTTGTGAACGCAACTCCTCTTAAACCGCAGGGCAGATTTTGTTTAAACTTACAGGGATGAACAACCTTAATGTGTAGATGGTAGTAAAGGAAGGAATTTTCGCTGCGACCAAATTTAACAGAATTATGGCCCTTTGTTGATTTTTTCATTAGATACTATGTAGAAATTTTGTGAACGCAACTCCTCTAAAACCGGATGGCAGATTTTGCTTAAACTTACAGGGATGAACAACCTTAATGTGTAGATGGTAGTAAAGGAAGGAATTTTTTGCTGCGACCAAATTTAACAGAATTATGGCCCTTTGATGATTTTTTCACTATATACTATGAAGAAATTTTGTGAACGCAACTCCTATTAAACCTGATGGCAGATTTTGCTTAAACTTACAGGGATGAACAACCTTAAGGTGTAGATGGCAGTAAAGGAAGGAATTTTTGCTGCAACCAAATTTAACAGAATTATGGCCCTTTGTTGATTTTTTCATTCTATACAATTATACTATGTAGAAATTTTGTGAACGCAACTCCTCTAAAACCGGATGGCAGATTTTGCTTAAACTTCCAGGGATGAACAACCTTAATGTGTAGATAAGGAAGGAAGTAAAGGAAGGAATTATTTCTGTGACCAAATTACAGAATTATGGCCCTTTGTTGATTTTTAGTTTTCAACTTGTGGCACATGTAGTTAAAAAAATATTTGACCTAGACTCAGTAGAGTCATAAGATTGACAGAACAGTGGCGTGTGGGGGCATCCGTGTCCTATGGACACATTTCTAGTTTTATCAAGTAAATGAAGATAAAGGGTTGATAACTCCTATGCAAATCAAATTAATTATTTGTATATTGTTAAAGGTATTATTACTTCCAATTATAACACTTTTTTCTTTTGTAGTTGTTTTTATTATATTTTATTATTTCTCTTTTTTTCACATAATACTTGACTTGTAGATTCATGCTCTTGGGTTTTTTTTTGTTTTGTTTTTTTTCAAATTGATAATACAAATTTACAAGCTCATAATGAATATGAATAAAGGTGGATTCCAGGTTTTATTCTTTATGGAAAAAAAAATTCTTTCAAATTATTTGTTGGCATTTCATCCTTATTTAGTTTTGGGGATATAAGTGGCAGTTTTGACTGGTATGTATATATCATCAGTTCAGAGTCAGTCCAGCTATCAAACCTGTGCATACAGACCAGAGCTTAAGGTCATTGACTTCAAACCATTTCGTCCTAACCGCTGTGGGTTCAAATCCCTACAGGGACTTTAGATTCTTTCATGTGAGGAAGCTATCCAGCTAGCTTACGGAACGTCGGTGGTTCTACTCGGGTGCCCGTTCGTGCCTGAAATAATGCATGGAAGGGCACCTGAGGTCTTCCTCCACCAGTAAATTTGGAATGTCGCAATATGACCTATACTGTGTCGATGTGACGTAAACCCAGTCAAAACAAACAAATGTCCCCACCAATTTAGTGGGTGGTAGGGGGCATATAGATTTACCACTGTCCATTTGTTAACTGACAAAAGAGTAAAATAAGTTATTTTTAGTTATTTTTGCATTGAAACGAACAATCTAGAATTTAGAGCAGAACTAATTCATTATACATATTAAGATTGAAATTGGAGAATATGTAAGAGTTAAAATGTTGGTGTTTAATGTTAAAAAAAAATTGAAACATTTTACCCTAGGATTACTTCAGATCATGAAACTGTTGTTCAAGCCAAAACTTTTGTCCAGATATTGATATATTACATTTGTACTTGTCAAGCATAGGCAATTTTTATTTCCCGTAAAGAAGATTCAGAACCATGGCATTACATTTTGTTAATTGAGTAAAAGATTAAATGTCATGTACATCAATAAGTTGAAGAGCCCTTGATGTTTTCTTTGTGTTTCTATTTACATGTAAATGTGCTAGTTTTTTGTGAATTTTTTTATACAGAAATGTATGCTTGGCATACTGTATTTACTTATCTACGAGACTGTCAAGTCAAGGTCTATTTTAAATATAATGCTGAAATAAATGAACTGAAATCAAAACCTGTCAAATCAGTGGGAAAAGTCATTTAAAATAAACAATGTAAGATCGATTAATTTCATTGATACTTTCAGTTTGCTTTGATTTTGATACTTATGTTGTGGATTTTTGTTTGACCCCCCTCATAAGACGACCTATAGGGTTAAACCCTCTGTTTTTAGGGTCAGAAACACGTCTTTTAGGTGAGTAAGTACAGTAATTACCAGATCTGTTATATTGTGCTTTATCTTAATCTTACTTTTTTTGTAGCTTTTTGTAATCTACTTACAAACTATATTATTTTACTTTACAAGAATCAAACATTCCATAAGTCTATATCATGTTTTGAATTGTTTATTGTTTTGTAAATTGTAGACATTATTTTCACAACTGATAGTTTTGTCTGTATGTCTGTTCTGTGTTTGACTGATTGAAATCCAAAGGAATGTTTCAAAAAATGTGTGTATTCATTCTCTTTACATTTATGTTTTATATTAATGAAATTAAATTTAACCGGAGCATAAAGTCCGCATTTATATTACATGGTTACAGTAAATCCTTGTTGATTTCAACACTTAATATATGTATATTTATTTCAGCCTGGAGTAGTATTTTTCTCAGTGTAAAGTTTTTTCGTCAAAATCATTAACATGGTTTATTGTTTATTATGTAATTACTTACAGATTATTCTGTGTTGTATATAGAGTGTAACTTACTTGTCAATACCACTAAGTAGTAGTATCTGAAAAATAATCAAGGTGAAATGGAATCTAATTATATATATACCGGTATTTAAAGTTGAACATGGCTCTAATCTCTGTAATGTATATGTGATATACCTATGTTACTGCTGTGCTGGCTCAAGGTCAAGGTCACCCTTAAAGGTCGAACATGAGACAATTGTGTATCCTTAGTA